AATTCTTGTCTGTCACACTGCTGTTTAGGTCAGTTTAACGCCATCTTGTTACTGAATAGTACAAGTGTAAGAGGCTAAATTATCATATGCATCTATTTATATAACAAAACATGTCTTTTTGACTCAAGAAGGTCCATACTGACTCCAAAGGCATATATTGATAAGATCAGGGCCTGAAATGTGGACTTTGGGGGTTTTATGATGTGATCATATGTTGATTGGTCAGTTTGAATGTCTCATCATTTGGGCTTTAGTCACATGGTCAAGAAAGATACAAAATAGTTGGTAAACTGTGCTCTGTTTCTTTGCCTGCCCTGTCTTCTCTTGGTCTGTTTTTCTCCTGCTCTGCTCCTCTCCTCCTCTTGAGTCTATCTTCTCTGCCTCTTTGAGGCCTACTTACTCTCTTTGTCTCTCTCCCTCCCCCTTTGTCTCTCCTTCTACCTCTGGTAACTTTAATTTTACATTTAAGCTGAGTACAATTTAAATCATATCATTTTATCATTTTATACAGTTATTTTGTAATCAATACAGTTGTAACCATAGAGAATTCTTGTCATTAAATCATCTCATTTTCAAGTATTTGGGAATTACTTTTGATTTAACATCAAAATTGTTTCATATTGCAATACAATACAATCACATAATATCAACGCTCTCCCACATTTATAGCCATTAATACTGCCCTTATTTCCGTTTTTGGTATGGTATTGCAGAAGAATGTTTTGACTAGAAATGTACAGTTTTTTACCATCATGCTGATAACTTTTTAGTCGCTCGGCAGAAGCGAACTCTACAGTTCGAAGCACTGTGGTTTAAAACCCATTCTTACACAAGTTTTTTTTTTTTTTAGTGTATGCTCCATTTAGCCATTTTAGTTTCTATCAGATTTGCATTTAATTAAAGATTTAATAAAGAGAACAATGTTTTTTTTCTTTTTCTTTTCATTTTCATTGAAAAACCTACATACTGTTAAAGTCATAATTATTAGCCCCCCTGATTTATTAGCCTCCTGTTTATTTTTTCCCAATTTCTGTTTAACAAAGAGAAGATTTTTTAAAACGCATTTCTAAACATAATAGTTTTAATAATGCATTTCTAATAACTAATTTATTTTATCTTTGCCATAATGACAGTAAATAATATTTTATGAGATATTTTTCCAGACACTTCTATATAGCTTAAAGTGACATTTAATGGCTTAACTAGGTTAATAAGGTTTAAAGTGGCTATTTATTTTGACCATAAAATAAAAAAAATAAAAAAAAATAAAATCTTTTTTTCTAGCCACAATAAAACAAATAAGATTTTCTACAGAAGAAAAAAATATTAGCAGATATACTGTGAAAATGTCTTTGCTCTGTTAATCATAATTTAGTAAGTATTTAAAAAAGAAAAAAAAAAATCAAAGCTAGGTTAATAATTCTGACTTCAACTGTACATACAGTACCGGCCTAAATGCTTAGAAGAAAGAGATGGACCATATATCAAAGTTCCCCCAGAAGTACTTTATCACAGTGAATTTAGCTTACTAAAAAAGTAACTCAAAATCCTACCTCCCACCCCACTAATCTAACATCATGTTTGGGGAAAGTTCATAAAAATCCTTATTATACGTGAATAGCATTTACAACATGGAACTGCCTTTGACACAAAAATTTAAGCTAGGTGTACAACATGGACAATGAAGCCAATAGAGATATTATAAAATACTTATAAGATAATTTGTAAATTAATAATGAAATAAAATAAATAAGTAAGTTAACATCCAATAGTCTTGTAAAAATCTATATCGTTTCAGTGTTCAGTATCAGTTTAAGTCTTTATCTACAAAAATAGTACGAATGATTTCCAAACCCTGATAAAAATTTGTCACTTAGTGTGAGTTTCAGTTCTTCTAAGTGTAACATATTTCCAAATTCTCTAGCCCACATTCCAATGGTGAGAACAGCATAAAGTTTCCACATTTGTAAAATTATTATTATTATTATTATTTTTTATTTTATTTTTTATTTTTGCAATAAACATACAAAATAGAATTGCTTGTATTTGGTTTCTACCAAATGTATTTGGTAAGCATGTGCAATTGTATTTGGTCTCTGCTCCTTAAAAGTCCAATAGGATCAGGTTCCAGATTCACTGAATACACTTCATAAAGAAACTTGAATAGAGAACAATGTTGTTTTGTCTAATTTGTATGTTTTTCAACAAGTTGCCACAGAAAAAGCAGGATAAAGTACAAAAAAGTATGTAAGAGGTAAAGAACATCCAGGTGATTTTTTTATTACAGAATAAATCTAGACATGCTTTTCAGCAGCCCATGCAAAGCGGAGCGCTGTTATATAAGACTGAATGGTTATATTTTGCGAAAACAATTACCTGCATGTACTTTATCCAGTTTGTCACTGCTACTTGCCACAAAATGTAAAAATGAGATCAAATATTTTTCTTAGCGATAATACTTTATTAATTATCTAATTAAAGGCCAAGAGAAATGAAAATGGCTGAAAGGAGCATACATTAGCGTATGCATTATTCAGTTACAAGAAAGTGCCAAACAGTTGAAAACAATGGTAAAGACAGACAAGTATATACTGTAAAAATGCTGGGTTTCAGGCAATCAATTTGTGTTGAACTTGAAGGATTTTAGTTAATTTATTAGTCTATACCGATTTAAGTAGATTGAACCTAAACCAATCAAGTAGTCCCCCCCAAACTAAAGAATTGTTTCAGCTCATTTAAAATATGGTTTGAGCAAACAGCAAACATAATTTTTCACGCATATATAGATGCCAAGATGATTGGAATATCTGCAATGGGCGGTTGTTGTTCTGGTAGAACATACCTAAGAATGTTGTGTCTAACCAATCAAAATCATGTATTCCAGACAGCTGTGTTATAATCTGTGATAACAACCACCTGGAGGTATATTAGCCTTTACATAAGATGTTGTAATTATGAGTTACCAAATTATAAATATGACTTTCAGACAGTTGAGACGGTTGATTGAGGTTATTTAAAGAAATCAGAGCACATGGCATAAACAGACTAAAGCCATGCTGACACCAAATGACAATACAAGAGCACATGGCCATGAACACAATACGAAACCATGTGCTTAACAGTAATGACACACACGACTAGACAAGAGGTGTCCTGTGATGTCGTACACAAACATTTGAATAAAAGGAGATTTGAAAATAGGGATCGGACAGAATCCAGACCTTATGACCCAGACACAGAACACACTGCCTGAATAGAACAATGCATGACCCAAAACAAAGCCACATGGTCATGCAAAGATACAATAAAATAATAACATTAATTCTGTCACCAACCTAGGAACAAGAACAAGCATAATAACAGGACTCCAAATGCCTCCATTTATATTGATTTGAGTCCTTTGTGACTTGTAACTCAGTAGTTCATATTTAATTTGATTTGAAGCAAATCTGACATGCATGAGGAGACACGTTTGGTAGGTACTGTTCCTGTGAGAGCAGGTACTGCTCCTAGCAGAGCAAATGAACAGAGGAGCTGTCAGGGGAACACAACAAACGAGGAGCTGTCACAACAGTTACAGCCATGACACTACACACAGACTGACACTGAACATTAGAATGAGCAATACACTGTGCCATTTGGATGACACTGTATTAACTGTAACTGTAGTGTTGCTGACACCAGTGACTGTGACTGACTAAGAAGGCAGCCACAACTTCACAAATGTCAATTTTATGCTTTCTTGATGTTTCCACTTTATAGTCAGAATCTGTTTATGCCCAGGGACAAAGGGCTATGTTTATAAACTCCAGTATGAAACATCTCTAAAAGAACGGAGTAAAGAACAGAATGACAAATTGCAAATCAATTTTAAGCTGTTTATGATTTTCTGTCACAGAATACATATTCTATCTATCTATCTATCTATCTATCTATCTATCTATCTATCTATCTATCTATCTATCTATCTATCTATCTATCTATCTATCTATCTATCTATCTACCTGTCTACCTGTCTGTCTGTCTGTCTGTCTGTCTGTCTGTCTGTCTGTCTACATTTTAATGATATAATAATATTTCAATTGTGCTGTAAACGGAGTGCACTGGGAGAGGGTTTCTACAAAACAAACACCAGCAAAACAAACAAACAACAGCAATAAAGAAGTTAGGGTTAAAATAAGCAATAATCAATGTCACATTTACAGGAAAATGTCCTAATGATAGAATTGTGCAGTATGAAAATTTGTAGATAGATAAGTCACCATTTACATATATGTTATTACTTTGGCAGAAATAAATTTACGACCAATACTTGAAGTTACTAATTTAACTTCAGTTGTTTTTTCAATTAATTTAATCAAATTAAAATATTGCATATTTTATCAGCTTCTTTCTTATATGCAAAAACTGAACACTATTAAGCACTGAATTTTAGCAAATCATCTCAACTTGTACATTTAAAAATATTATTATATAAAAAAAGGTTCATTAAATATATTTGGTTATTTTTACCTGGTCTGAGTAAAGTGTTATGGATGACGTGGCTTTACTTCAGGAGTATGAAAGACGAACTGAGATCAGAAATGGGAATGATTATCAATATTGCCTACATGTTAGGTGGTAAAAAATGCATAGAGATTACTTTGAAGTATGTGACGGTGATGGTGAATTGATTGTTCAAAGCTGAGGCGAGAAATTCACAGACAGCCACCTACCTGAGAAGGTGATTACTTTACGGATTCCTCATCTGAAATCAAAAATGTGCTTTTTTTCCACAACCGTTTCCATCATTCCATGTAAACAGACACCCTGCATTCATTTCTCATAACCCATAATCATACGACGCATAAAACACCACTCATCAGCTTGTGCAGTAAAACATACTTCAAAACATGTTTTAAACATACCCACTTTGAAAATGTAGCTCACTTCTTTATTAAAGGTGTCATAAGAGAATGTGTTGATTGCCTTGACCAAAATGGATTTTTCTCTCTCTTCAGAAATGGACTCAGTGAGGATTATTCTTTACTCACTTGTCTTTCTCCTGAGTGTGTTTGGGAACCTTCTGATCATTGTGGTCCTGATTGTAAACAAGAGAATGCGGACAGTCACCAACTCCTTCCTGCTCTCTCTGGCCGTTAGTGATCTTATGATGGCCATCTTCTGTATACCCTTTAATCTCATCCCCAGCCTGCTAGAGGACTTCATATTTGGAGCTGCGATGTGCAAGACAGTTGCATATTTCATGGGTAAGGAGGACTTATTTAAACTTATTTCAACTGGAAGGTTCATGTTTAACTCTGCCAATGCACTGTTCAATAATCTTTAATTACAGATCAAACCCTAATATTTTTTACACAAAATAATATTATAGAATTATAATATGTCACATCGCTATGAGTAGCAACTGAATAAAACAATACTGCAGGTCAATGTTTCTTCAACTATGATGAGTAAGTAAATAAATAAATAAATAAACAAACCGTTATATATAACTGTAATAAGAGCTGTTTTCTGTCATTGGTTCCCAACTGGGGACTCGCCACCCTGCACATTTTGTATGTTTAAATAAGAAAGATACAAATATAAAATGTGCAGGGATGTGGATTTCCAGAACTGTACTTGGGAACTACTGTTCAATGTGAATATATTTCAAATTTACAGTTTAATAGAACATAATCATCTATTGTGGCAGCAGTCATTTATAATATTTACATGCAGAAAACAGCTTTATAGATTAGGCTTAAAGCACTTAAATCACTTTCTGAAGCACAGGCTCATATGACTAGCTCAATACATCATCACACAACAACTGTAATTAAGCTCTTGGGAAGCCTTTAAAAATCCATCTATTTCTCCCTGTCATTGCCTCTCAATTATAGTACCGATCTGACTTGACTTTATTTATAGATGTTGCACTTCACAACTAATAATCATTAACTGTGCTGTTTCTTCCGTGCTGCTTATTCCTCTTTGGACAATCTTACTTTAATTATATACTGCTACTGAGCTAACATAAAAACAACTGTCATATTTCCTAGTTACTCTGAAGGGCCTGCCCTCAAGAAGCTCTGATTGGTTAGCTAACATAATGTGCTGTTGTTCACCAATTGGCTCAACGTCATCAGGAAAAGCGTCATGCTCCTGCTACAAGCATGCGCTTGGCCTCTGCTTCATAAATACTGTCAGTCAGAGTAGCTGTTGTCCATTTCGATTTGAGCCTGAATCAGACTGAAAACGAAAAGGACACAGTTAAACCTCACGCCTGCTCTTTAAAATAAAATCTGACAAATGTTTTTTACATTTGGACTAAGCATGTGCAAGTAATATATAACGTTCCTTTAACTTTTGTGAGTTTGTTATTTAAGATGTAGAACGCAGGGAAAGTGGCCGGATAGAGAGACACTGCACGCGCTGCTGAAGATTGTGGGTGTTTACAGCAGTTTGACGGAAAACATGAATTTGTAGCTAAATTGTTAATGGTGCCAAACAGCATTTCTCTTTGTTTACATCCTTGGTTACGTCCTTGCTACAACATACCATTACCGCTAGACACTATGTATGTAATAAATCAATTTTAACAAATAAAAATACTTACAGGTTGTGGCTCACAATTCACAGCTTCTTCTATTATGTTGTAACTGATGCTTCTTTGGGGAGCTTTTAGCTGAATCTAGCACATAACTTAGAGAGATTCTGGAAGCTGTCCTTTGTCAAATGCTAGAGCTAAATCTTTTTATAATTCTTTGTAATATAATTAAAACTAAACGGTAAGCACTTCTCTCTTTGTATCGTGTCCTTTAGAAGCCCAAATTCAGAAACAGAAAAAGCTCTGTGGAAAAAGCAGCATTTGTATGGCATTTTAGGTTTCTCTGCTATAAAATAACAGCACCTCTGGCCATGCCCCCTTTTCTGCACAGGGTGTATGTGTGTGGTGAATGCGTGTAACCTGAAGCATTTGTGATTTCACTAGCCCAAATGTATTATGTGTTTTTTGTGTCCCCAATCTATCTTCACTGTAGGCTTTGCTCGGCTAACTCTGTAAGAGCCATTGTCTCACTTTGCATTGAATTTTGAGCATATTACATTTAGAGATGTTGTTTATGTTCACACATAAACACCACAGCCATATCACCCTGCAGCCCAAGATCGGTTACTCACTAAAGCTAAGCAGGGCTGAGCCTGGTTAGTACCTGGATGGGAGACCACTAGGGAACACTAGGTTGCTGTTGGAAGTGGTGTTAGTGAGGCCAGCAGGGGGCGCTCAACCTGAGGTCTAAGTGAGTCCTAATGCCCCAGTAAAAAGTGAAGGGGACACTACACTGTCAGTGGGCGCCGTCTTTCGGATGAGACGTTAAACCGAGGTCCTGACTCTCTGTGGTCATTAAAAATCCCATGGCACTTCTCGTGAAAGTGGGGTGGGGTGTAACCCCGGTGTCCTGGCCAATGTCCCTCTATCGGCCCATACGATCATGGCCTCCCAATCATCCCCGTCCACTGAATTGGCTCTATCACTGTCTCTCCACTCCACCAATAGCTGGTGTGTGGTGAGCGCACTGGCGCCGTTGTCCTGTGGCAGCCGTCGCATCATCCAAGTGGATGCTGCACACTGGTGGTGGTGTGGAGAGAACCCCCTCATGATTGTGAAGCGCTTTGGGTGTATGGCCATACACAATAAATGCGCTATATAAATACACATTACATTTACATTTACATTACATCTAAATTACATATGAACTAAAATTTAAAATATGATATCGCAGTGGACTACCCCTTTAATCAACAATTAAGGCACTAACTCAGTGCATTTATATACATTGACATGAGTGAAATAATGCATTAATAAAGTACATTTAATGTGTATTGCTTTGCACCCAAAGCATATGGCACTCACACATTGGGATCAGCGATGCAAAGAACTATAAGATGATGTTACGAAGAGTTGCACCAGTGAAACTTTTGGACTAGTAAGGAAGACATGCACACCCTTCACTGCCTGGAGAGGTACCATTAGCTTTTCACTCAACATAGCACACGTGCTGCTGATGATGTGACAATAAAAGTGATTTGATTAAGAACAAACAAGGTAAAAAATGGAAAGCTCAATAAAGCATTTAAAACAGATGGCTTGAATACACATAAGTACTGTACACCAGCAACAAGTCTGAACCAGAAGTTGATAGATCAAAGTAAATTGAGAGGTCCGTTTGGAACCTGAAACCAGACATTCTCATGAAGGAAATAATCTAGGCAACAAAAGCACTGTCCAATAGCAAAGCCCCAAGTATAGATACCATTCCAGCAGAACTGTTAAAGGACATTCTTCTTGTGGTTGTTGCCAATTTGTGTCAGAAGATATGTAAGTCAAATATATGTACAAGAGATTGAAAGAGGTAAATTTTTATGTCAATTCCTAAGAGAGGCAAAGCTAAGAACTGCTCCAATTACCGCACTATTGCTCTCATTCTACAAGTTAGCAAAATACTTCTCAAGATCATCAAGCAATCTTAGCCCCAATCGTTGAGGTTGATTTGCCTGTTATGCAAGCAAGGTACAGAAGAGGTCATGGCACCAGAGATCTTATTGCAAACATGCGTTGAATAATGAAAAAATCCATTCAGTACAAAAAAATCTTTACATGTGCTTCATTGATTTTTAGAAAACCTTTTGATTGCATTGATGACAATAAGCTTTGGAAAGTGCTTGGCAAAATTGGAGTTACACCCTATTTAGTGAAGTTGATTAGATACTTATTTATAGATCAAGAAACCACAGTTAGGGCTCGATGTGGAGAAACAAAATGGTTCAAAATTGAGAAGTGTGTGAGGCAAGGCTGCATTCTATGCCCCATCTTGTTTAATCGTAATGCAAAAACGATCATCAGAAAGCTGGAATAAGATGAAGAAATGTAAAGCTTATCTATGAATCATCTATTTCAAGAGTACACACTTAGGCGGTAGGCGAAAACCAGGGAACCCGGGGAAAACCCATGCAAGCATGGGGAGAACATACAGACTCCACACAGAAATGCAGACTAGAGCTTGAACCAGTGGGATTCTTGGTGTGAGTCGATAGTGCTAACTACAGGTAACTATTGGGCCTCCATGCCGCCATATCAGGAGAAGGGGGAGAGGTAGGGGTGGAAGGAGGGATTCTTCAAGACGAAGATGACTAGAGTGAAAAAACTGACTATTAATAGTGAGTTAGAATTCATCTGATTGGTGTGATATAAGTAGCTGAAGCGAGACCAGCTGTGATCAATCATAAGCACGTGATATTCTATAAATTAGTTATAAATAAACCGCATTTAAAAACAGAAACATCAATCTAGGCATAATATGTAACCTGGTCCAGGGGATTGTATTCCCCATATTTATGTAACGGGTGAAAGCTGGACAGTGAAAAAGGCAGATAAAAGGAGAATTGTTTGGTTAAGCCCTGGTGCTTGCAAGGACGATTCCGTGGACGGCAAAATATGATGAACAAAGAAGTCAAGCTGGACATGTCAATAGAAGGAAAAATGAAAAAAACTTAGGTTAGCATACTTTGTGCATGAACTGCATTCCAGTTCATTGGAAAAAACAATCATGCTTAGACCAGGCCATCAACGAAGACACAGGCTTGAAACGGATCAACTAAAAGAAGCAATATGGGATCAGAAAGCAAGAAGAGCACTTAGCCTGTAGGATCGCCAAGAGTCGAAATCGATTGAATGGCTAACATCACATCATCCATTTTGAAGGGCTCATCCCTTTTCAATAATCCCTTCGGACAGTCCCTCTGAAGGGATTAGAGCAAATGGATGAGACCTTCCAAACTGAGTGCAGTGTGTGACACCAAACAACTTCCCTGTTCAAAGGATCATGGCCTGAAGTGTCTATCAGTTTTTGTTATGTTATTTTGTTTAGTTTTCAGCACTTCAATATTGTGCCATGATTTTTTCACGCCAATGTCCCTTCGGAAGGCGATATTTATCCCACTTGGAATGCACTGTAAGACAAGAACAAATCTGAGTTGTAGGAATTGTATTTGAATAAAACTTTGACAGTTAATGACAGTAGACAAGCACATAAGATCACTTAAGAATGCATAGTGAGAAATGTCTTGAATTTCCGAGTGTGTTTTTAATGTAGAGTAGACAGCACAGCTTTATAAGTAGCAATGAAAAAATAGATATAGATCCAAATCGATGACTAAAGATTATTAGAAAGCCAAGAAGGTCAATGACACACTGGATTTGTCCAGGACA